CTTTTTACAAATACCCAAAATTAGAAAAGTATGGAAGGGCTGTTTTGGTATTTATTTTTTCAAAATGGTGGTCCGCAAAATTTAAATGCAAAAACAAATCTGTTGTAATAAAACCAAGAAGTTATACTTTATCGGTTTTCGAAAAAGCAATAAAACGTTATTTATAAAATAGTTACACACTTTTCATCAGGTTTAGCAGCTTATTTTTTATTTATTTTCTTAGCGTATTGACCTGATTTTTTGCGCTTGACGAAGTTGACATAGACATGCGCTAAAACGTAAGGGTTGCAAAATAGGGCACGAAATAAAAGTAGTAATCGGCGCTATGTTGTACAACATGATTAGTGAATTCACTTTTTATTTATTTAAATTTATTTTATACCTGGTTGATTAATTAAATAGGTAGAAGGTAATACCAATAGTCTTCGTATGCTACCCATCCAGGTACCTAACGAAATTTATTATGTACCTCATCTACCTGTAACTAGTTAACTAATAACAATAACCTTACAAGTGCCGCTAATTAAATTAAAAATAAATAGTAATGTCGCTAGTAAAATGTTGCTTCGATTTACCCGAAAAAAGCGATGTTTTGGATAGTATTGCACAAAAATGCACAAACTATGGTTGTAAGTGTTATATATTCATAATAATAATTAATTTATCCATGTATGTAGATGTGTATAACTGTTAATTAATTAATAATTCCCCTCCTAAGTATCTATTTGCTATATATCTACAGTACGTTTTGATAATAAGAGTGATAATTAATTAATTGCTTATTGCGACTGCAATATTCAGCTCATTATTTATATTGCTCGTGGTAGTTATGTTAAAGAAAACAAAATTCAAAATCTATTTTCCTATTTTCCTACTATCCGTAATCGTTTGTTATCAGCACTTAAAAACACAACACTAATATTGCACAATTTGTAAAGAAACACCTTGCATACGCTCACTTATTTTTAGTATTGTTTTTATTTATTTAGATGGGATCACTTAATTTATTTTTATAAAAAAGAATAATTGACCAAACTTTTTCAAATGTTTCGATTAAATTTATTGTGACATTTGCGGTGTAATATGAGTAAGTCACATCTCACAAACTATTTCGAAGTTTATTTAAATATTTTTTAGTGATAAATTTATTATTATATGGAAAATTAAAAAAAAAACTACTTATGTTATTAAGTTTTTTAATTTGTTTTAAAAAGAAGCTGCAAGTGCCCCCTCTTATAGAATGCCTGAACCAGCGTTTACTTTACGAACTACAGTATCGTATATAGAGAAAAAAAGAAAACGGCGTGTCGCTAAAGAAATAGTTACAGGTTAGAAAGCTAGGATAATCATTAAAAACATAACCTATATCTCTGCGATAGCCCAAAAGGCCTAAAATTATAAAAATAATAATGTTTCATGGTATATATTTCACTTGAATTATTTTATTGCACATCTATAATTATTTATCGTTACTTCTCCAATGTTCACTTTTATCATATGTGTTGTTTCATAGGTTGTTGCGGTTGTTGTAATGCATTAAGGCCTCGATATAAGCGATTAGTCGACAACATATTTCCAGTTAATCCTCAAGATGGTTTGGTCAAATCTAATATGGAAAAGCTTACTTTTTACTCCCTTAGTTCCCCTGAAAAGTTGGATAGAATTGGAGAATATTTTTATCAAAAAGCATCAAGAGATATTTACAGAAGAAGACATGGGTACGTAGGCCTGAAAATTCTTGAAATCTAGTAGATATTGACTTCTTTGAAGGTTTGTTATCATTGCAATGGAAGCAATGGATCAGCTTTTAGTTGCTTGTCATGCTCAAACGCTGAATTTGTTTGTTGAGAGCTATTTAAAAATGGTGCAGAAACTTTTGGAGTCTACTGAACCAAAATTGCAAATTCTAGCAACACAATCAGTAAGTACTTAATAAAATACATTCTATGAATAGATAATATGCTCCTTATATGTCTGTACATTATGTGTTCTTCAAAAGCTGTTTTTGTGTTTTAGTTTGTCAAATTTGCTAATATTGAAGAAGACACACCATCATATCATCGACGTTATGATTTCTTTGTGAGTAAATTTTCAGCTATGTGTCACAGTAACGAAGACAGACCATATATGAGAAACCAGATAAGATTAGCAGGAATACAAGGCTTGGAGGCAGTTGTGAGAAAGACAGTTTCTGATGATTTAGTAGAAAACATATGGGAACCAGTACATATGGACAAGATTGTTCCCAGTTTATTATTTAACATGCAAGTTAGTAGTTAATGTATTTTTTTTTTCTTGTAGCAATACATATTGTATTATATTGTATATTCAGATTAACTTGATGATTTCTTAATAACAGGAGTCTGGATTCCACATGAAAGAAGTTGGAAGTGTGGAAGCAGCTCCTGAAGATGAACTGGACCCCCCTACCCTTGCAGAGTCTTGTTTGAGAGAACTTGTTGGAAAAGCTTCATTTGGACATATAAAAGCTGTTTTAAAGCCTGTTCTAAGGTATTAAATACTACTATATACCTATTAAGAGTAAACAGTAATGAACATTTTTATTTAAGACATTTTGATCTGCATGAATTGTGGTGTCCAAACCAGTTTGCAGTTCATACCTTTAGAATAATTATTTTTTCTATTCAAGTAAGTTATTTTACATAGGCTTGCTGCTATGATAATACATTAAATGATATAAAACTTCTGTTTGGCAGGCCCAGTATTCCTACACAGTGGTAGAGTCATTAATGGCACATCTAGATGAAAATTCTAAATCTTCACCTGAAATTAGAACTAGCATTGCAGACGTACTTTCAAAAATAATTGCCATTGCAGCTGGTGAAAGTGTTGGTAAGAAACTGAAAAAGATCCGAGATGGTAAGGTTTTATAATTGTGACTTTGAATATAGGTCCCAGTGTGTTAGAAATAATTAACTCTCTCCTCTGCCATTTACGGGACTCTGTTAAGAATGGAATAAACCAAGCGGAAGAGAAACAGTATCAAGACGCTCTAATTAACGCCCTTGGTGAATTTGCAAACCATCTACCTGATTATCAAAAAATCGAGATAATGATGTTTATCATGAGTAAAATTCCGTTCCCACCTAAAGTCAACCAGACACCTGCAGACAATTTGCTTCAAAGCATTTTACTGAAGAGTTTGCTGAAGGTGAAGATATAATTCATATTTCTAACTGATGTTAATTACCACTTTAATTTCAGGTCGGAACAAAATATCAAACAATCCATTTCAATACAACATTCCCAGTTTCATTTCTGGAACCTTTATTGAGAATGTCGCTCGCTCCTGATCCTGAGATGCGACTTTTGGTCCAAAAAATTTTGCATACGTTAATCGACAGGCACAATAATCTTGAAAAGTTGTCAAAAGCAACGTAAATGAGAGATATGACACAAGAAAAGTAATTTTTGAATTAAAATGTTCTTTTATCGTAGGGTTTTAGTATCAGATTTGGATCTGGTGTTGGAAAAATCTTCCAGACCCGATTTAATATTTATTAATAAGCATGGTCCTGTGATCTACGATGCTCTGTACACAAGTTTGCAGATCGAAACTAACTCCGTGGAAAATATCGAGGCCATTTACACCACTGTATCTCTTTTGTGTGTGGAACTGGCAAGTGCAGAAGTCGTAATAGACATCATACAACTTTTATTAGGGTAAATTCCTTTCAGATCGGGTTTTCTAAATTTTTTAATAAATATGTATAACTACGTTACTATTTCAGTATTCAAAACTTGGCAATCACAAACACTTCTTTATCAGCCTCACAAGCTTACAATTTGCACGTGTTGGTTATTAGCGTTTTTGAGCTTATTTGTGTTGTATTTGACTTGCCCTCGTTGCAAAAATACGCCAATAAAATAATCGCAGCTAGACGTAAACAGGATCATTTTCTTCTACCTGAAATGTTGTCGCATTATCCTGATAACCACTATCCAAATCCCAAAGAACCATTCGTTTATCTCGAACAGGTACTTTACAGACATGAATAAATCTTTCATATTTGTATTGAAATAATCATTTTTAGACTGCGATTTGTGATATCCTGAGAGAAGACGGTCTAGACCCTTCTAGATTGTCTCAAACTTCGCCATATGGTGCTGGTGGACCTGGTGCAATTGCTGGCACGTCCCAGAGACATAGCTGGAGCGAAACCAACGCTCGGGGCAGTGTCGTAGATATAGGAACCACCCAGGACGTCGATAGCGAGTCCAGTTCTCCAGGCGTGCAAAAGGTAACAACACCCACGATCTCCAGACCTCTTTTCAATCCTCTTTACAAAAGACATTCCAGTTGGGATGGCATATTTTCCTTCCCCGATCCTCCCCAATACGCTGAGCAAAGCGATAGCATATCCAGTTTGACTCAAGTGAGTAAACTGACCGTTTCTCTGATTCCTATTCTTACTTGAAAGAACAATAAATGTTAAACTTTGTACTAACTTTAAAGAGTTACTTCAGTTTGTGAAATAGAAGCAATTACCTTATTATGCAAGTTTTCGCTAGAATCGTTGATATAGTTGCTAATTGTTGGGCTTTCTGACCTAAACTAATGGTTTCTATATTTAAATAAATAGAAATTGCCAGAAGAGAAACTCACATTTGAGCACATGAAGAGGGTCCTTACTGAACCTCCAGAAGCCAGAAAAGAAGCTGAAGCTGAAAAGAGAGAAGAACTTAATAACTTCTTTAGGACAGCTACTCTTGCAGAAATAATGCAGAGAACAAAGCCTAAGGTAATCGCTTGATAGCAAGCTTATTTTATACCACAAAACAAACCTTTTTTTAGCACGAAGATCTGCAAACGAAACTCCAAGAGATATTTAAATCGTTATCATCGTCTGAGGTTCACAGGAGCCCCACACACCAGAAAAAAGTCGAGCAAGAAATTCCGGTTTATGAACAGAACTTTCCAGAAATGTTTGCTTATTAAATGTATTTCAGATTTCTTTTCTTACTACGATAAATACGATAACAGTAAATGTGTTCAATTATTATATTACTCTTACGTGTATTTGATTATTATTATTTGTGAATAATATATANTTAAGGATGTGGGCTGTTCTAGTTTTAGGGAAATGCGAAGTTTAGCTCAGGATAGGAAAGAGTGGAGGTACGTGTCCAACCAGTCTTAGGACTGATGACCTTATGATGATGATAATTATTATAATTAGAGTCCACAAATTTTGGTACACATTGTACAATTGGACTTGAAATACGTCACCAATAACACAACTACAACGTATGGTAACAACTATTCCCTTTAGAGTAATATGAGAAGCTGATTTTGATCGTTAAGCCTATTATAATTTTGCCTATTTACGTTTTTGTTTTACATTATAGAGCTAATGATATAAGATTCTGTCCATATCCAGAACAACATCTCGTTATTTGTTTTTGTTCTTCTTTTTCGCATCGTTTTTTAAATTGCCCTGTTTCTTATTTATAGTCGATACCTATAGGATACCGTTTATTCGCATTTTAATTGGAACATTTATTAAATGGCATATTATTTTAATGAGAATTTTGATTTTTCAGCTGCAACCGTGTAAAAATGCCAAACAAATAATAATGACTGCAGTACAAAGTCGTTCGTTTTACTTATCAAAACCAATCAATTAGATTCTTTATCTTTATTGCATATTTATGATAAGTAGCAAATGAAATTGTTTCACACTAATGCCACATGAACGTAATTAACTGCATTTCTGTGATCAGATAAAGCATTACTTCCGGACAACGGGGGTAATTAGAAGAACCTCAAAGCTTGAGCCAAAAATTAAAATCAAAACAATAATTGTTCGAATTATCTTTCCATTTAGAATGTAGAATTATAGAAATCTTAGGAGAGATAAAGATTTAGTATGTGGAATGTTTTATGTACTTATGGCGAGTAATTGTTGGGGTTTTTCTGTTGGAATTCTGAAATATGTTACAATAAATTGTCGGGTTATACATATTTTACGAGTAAAACTAATTGAAAAATGGTGTGATTTATACGCGACAGACACGTGAGAATTTTAAACGCGATCCAAAAGGCTGCCCATTCATTTGTATCGGTTTAGACCAATGAAACTAATTAATTTTATCCGCAACGGCTCGACTGGACTGTCTCGGATGCATGCCGAGCTTTTAAAAATTAATCTACACGTGTTACGCGATCGGCAAAATAAGAAAACGAAATTCACCACAATCACATCGCCAACCGCGTACGTTATATTATGTATTGCATATATATATACACAGGGCCGTAGCTACCGCTTTACAACAATGATATCTATACAGACCCACGAGCAGGACAAGTCCCAAGATGCATAATTTCTAAACCCGAAGAGGCTAGGCTACGCTATCAATAAGAGAGCAGACGCAACCAGACTGAGTAGGATCCTTTCAAAAATTTTGGATACTGTAAAAGACCAAGATGACATTTATGCTTCCTCGAATGAGGCTATTGGAGATATTGGCTTGTTCCCAGGTTTCCTGGGAGTAAGCGGTGGCTCCTAAAGAAAGACTTCTACACACTAGAGAAGTCCATCAGTTGGTCAATGGAATCATCACACCGGAAAGGTCAGGAGTGCAATAAGATCCCTTAGTTCTTTTAAATCACCAAAGTCTGATGATACGTATCCGGTCCTGCTCCAAATAATGGACGTCATCCCTACGAATGGCGGGAGATATACATTATCACAGAAACAATCTGATAATAGGCATTAATTCTTCCTGTCATTTCTATGATGACGAAAGGGAATGTGCTGTCTACATCTTCTATGTCACTGCATAGGCACCGCTTTTTTGGCTTCCACTATCTAGGAGCAAAAGACATCACCGCTCATGGCTCTCAAAGGATCCTCTTCTTTTGAAAAGCTTCCTTGGATCTGGAGAGTTGAGGGTGGTTGCTACACGAAGACTACTCTGGAGAAGTCCATCAGTTGGTCAATGGAATCATCACACCCGGAAAGGTCAGGTTTGCAATAAGATCCCTTACTCCTTTTAAATCACCAAAATCTAATGATAAGTATCCGGTCCTGTTCCAAATAGTCATCCCTACGAACCGCGGGAGATATAGATAATTAAAAAAACAATCTGACAATTGGCATTAGTTCTTCCTGTCGTTTCTATGATGAGGAAATGGAATGAGCAGCGAAGTATTCTTAGATCTGGGGAGTTGAAGGTGACTGCTATAGGAAGACTTCCGTGGGCTTGAGAGAAGTCCATCAGTTGGCCAATGGGATTATCACACCCGAAGAGGTCAACTGTGCGATCACAAGATCCATTAGTCCTTTTACATCAACAAGGACTAATGATACTTATATCCGGTCCTGCTCCAAAGGACAAACGTCATCCCTATGAACCACGGGAAAGATGCGTTATAACAGAAACGAACTAACAGTGAACATCAGTTCTTCCTGTCGTTTCTGTGATGAGTAAATGGGAAGTGCTGTCTACATTCTCAGTCCCTACGTAGGCGCCATTTTTTTGGCTTCCCCTACCTACAAGCAAAATACGTCACCGCTCGTGATTCCCAAAAGATACTCTCCCTTTGGGAGGCTTCCAAAGAGGTAAAAACATAACGATAATAATAGAAATAAATTGCGACATTCAAGCATTTGGAATACATTACAGTTCTTCTAAACCTTAGTGTACCTTTCATTTGATACCACTCGCAAAATCGTCGTCTATAGGAACTCGACCTTTTTCCCGCAAGAAAAGAGTAGAATTTTGATAGGATGTATGGTTTTCTGGGGTAACTCACGATCGGTAGAAACTTCAAGAACATTGGAAAATAAAACTCTCCGACAACGTCAGATTCATTCTTTTTTCTTCGAGAGCTTTCCGATGATATATGGTTTGTTAGGATAACTCACAATCGGTAGAAGCTTCCATAAAATTGACCGATGGATTGTTCTAGAATGCCTTATGGAATTCTCCAAAACCTCCTCTTTCCATCTGCTTCAATCCTTTGCCTTTTTCAATCTTCTTTTTTCTTCAATCCTCTATCATCTTCAATCTCACACCTGGCACCAAAAGTCGCGAAGTATAGCTCCTTTAGCAATTATTTATTTTTTTAATTAATCTTCAAATCTTCAGTCGAGTAACTAAAATTGTTCCTCTTCCGAAAGAAGAAACTCAAGGGTGTTTCACTTCCACCAGCTACTAATGCTGATGAACGGGCAATCCCTATGGACTATGCCAGAGGGTAGAACAGAAGAACCTCTTCCGCTTCCTTTTAGGAATCGTGGGAATAGATGGGTAATGATTGAGGTGAGAAAGATGAGATGCAGACACAGGGGAATTGATTCAAGGAAACCACAGAAATATTTTGACCAGAGTCGAATCGGCATCCCCCCGAATGCTAAGTAATAGTCTAAACTTGCTTAGCCCTGGTCCAAATTTTTCTGTGGTTTCCTTAGGTTACTTAAGCAATTAGAAAGATTCCAACCAAAATTAGGAAAATTCTGGCCTTCTTTGTCATCCTGTTGTAAGCTAGACAACCCACTTAGGTCAACTGTGACATTCCTTCACGTATGATGGGTTGTCTACACATTAAAATAACTAGCAGCTAAATGCAAAGAGATTTTTATAAATTCAACATTTATAAGTACATTTAAAAGATAGACGTCCTAACAAACGAATGAATGATTAATTTCGTATACCAGTAAGAAAATAAAACAAAAACACATAGCTAATAGCTACGCTCACGTACGTGTGCGAAGAGTTGTAATATCCAACACTTATTTACTAGTTCACTAAAGTTGGATAAAGTTTTTTCCTCTTCGTACATTTTGCTGTAATCTCCTCCTCTTTCTTTCCCTTCTTGTAATTTATTCTCTTGTTCAGACGGTAAATATATTGTACTGTAAAAGCAGCGCTCGTATACCTTTGCCGCAAAATACAACATGTAAAAATTATTAGCTACTGCAATATCTGTGCATTGTTTATTAGCTTACTTTACCGCAAAACAAATTCTTGTCATGGTTAAAAAGCAAAATGGTTTAATATTTTAAGTTATTAATGGATTAATAAGTTTGTTAATGTTTTCTAAAACTAGGATGTTTTGCAGTTCTTTTTAATTTAATTATAATTAATAAATACATAGATGATCATAAACATCATTATATACTCCTAAATAGTTTTTGTTTATGAGGCAGTGTTTATTATATTATACTTTATTATACCATATTATATTTATTT